GATCAAGCACAAATGTCGCTAATTTTTTGACCACAGGGATGTATGCTGAATGTAAAGCGTGAATTATTTCACATGTGATAAACTGTTACCTAGAAGCAATTTTAGCAAAGTGACAAAAGAACGGGCATTATTGAACTATGCTATTCAAAAGGGCCCCAGTATTGATGTGGGCACTGTAATTCAAACCAATTTCCTGCACATTCTCAAAGGTTCTACAACTGTCGGTTTAGGTTACCCTTTATTAACCTATGTTCTTTGTTGAGAAGGTAGAATTGTGACATCTTTAACAAGGACATAGTTCATCCTAAACTAGTGATAACTAAGAAGGTAATTTGGCAATTCACTTGCAAGCAAAGATCCACAAGTGCCCCACCACAGGAAGCAGAGAAGCAACCATCTCGCTCTCGTTGACCTCCACCTATCAGTGAGCCGAATGAGGACATTATTAATCGTATTTAGGCTATGCAGCTACAACTCACACATAGATAGGATGAGTTGGAATTGAAGCATAAACAGAGATATGATGGGATTCAACATCAATTGAATCAATTGCAGGCGTCAATGAAAGATCAGTGTCAGCAATTTCAGAACTCAATGCATATACACTGTCAATATCAGAATGAGTTATTCACAGTGTTGACCTCTGCATATCCCCGCATGACATTCCCTTAGCAGCCGACATTCCCATATCATCTAGCTACCCAGGACCCACCTCAATATGACGACGACGATGGCACCAACTGATGTATTCATGGAAGTCTTAATCCTCATTTGTATTTATTTTCACATTGGGAACAATGCATATTTTAAGTTTGGGGTGTGAATCATCAGTTGCTAATTTCTACTGTCATTTGTTTAGTGTTTATGTACTTGTGTGATGTGCTTTTATTTCGTATGTTTTGTGTGTTAAAAATGTTTAAAAAAAATTATACATGCTTGTATGAGTTAAATACCTTTGTCGGTTATGATTAATATAGCTGAAAACATGTATTAGTTTATAGATTGTGAATGAATTATATGCTTTAGTTAAATTTTCTTCTTATTCATGTGAAGCGTGACAATATTTATACACGATGATCAAGTTGAGCATCGTACAAGAATAAGAATATTCATATTTGAAGACTGTCTAGATGACTCAGATGTTTAATCCCTTAACCCATGGTTCACATCATCCTTTAGCCGTATATATAATAATTTGGGGTATTCGAGCCAATAAAAGAAATGATTTAGGATTGTGATGATTCCATGCATGTTAAAAAAAATATTTTTGTGGAGTGTCTTTGACTTTTCTTGTATGAATTTGGTGATGACCAAATGCTAGAGATCTAACCCCTATAAATTTTGCTTATCTTTAATAGAAAATAAGCATAGCATTTATTGAGTTTATGCCTTACGCCATCACATTTTTTACTCCAGCTAGTACGTAGGGGTATCTTGAAACTTGGTGCCCTTTGACATTCAAAAGTTGAGAAGTTACTGAATAAAAGTTCGTTACAAGGATCGAGAAGAGAGAAAACGGTGAGGTCAATTTTGAGTTGAAAAGATAACATCCTAAAAGGAGAAAAATTATGTACAAGTGTGCAAGTAAGAACAAATAGTTGGGGGACTAGATAACTAGTGAGTTTGAATCACTTGGTATAAATTTGATTGTTGAAGTACTTATTATTTGAGAGAATTATCACATGAATGAATTGTTGACGTCGCCAATTAGAGTAAACCAAATTAGAGCGGTGTAAGGAATTAATCAGTAAAACTAAACTTTAGAATTACACCTCGATGAGAGAATGAAAGAAATAAGTTTGGGGTGTCTGAATCTTACGACAAAGAAAGGAAATAATTGACTATTGAGGGTTGGGAATTGAACTAACTTGTAAATGTACGGCGTTACACTTGACTCTTCACACACACTCGTTTTGCATTGAATAAGTGGAAGTTTGGCTCATGAATTGTGATTTTGAAGTTGTTCATGAATGTGATATAATGGTCTCAATACTGAGCCAAAAGACAAGCGATTTGACTGAGTTTTTGTTTGCGGGTCCTTAGTTATTTTCTTTTTCTCTGTGTTTGCTCGAGAACTAGCAAACTATTAAGCTTGTGGATATTTGATGAGTGTGCTTTACTCACGGATTTTATACTATTTTAACTTGATTATTGGCAAGATCTTATGAGCGTTGAACGTTTTAATGTGTTTATCAATGTTATTTTATAGGTTTGGTGAGATGGCGCAAATCATCGCAAAAGTGGAGAAAACAAGGTTAATGGCATAAACCGAGGAGAAGAGATGAGCAAAAGGATAAAAGAGTCAATTTTCTATTTCAAAAGAAGAGAAAAAGAGAACATAGACCGAGAGTTTGCGCTGCGGCACTAGAATAGCTGGAGAAATAGAAGTGTGGCGCCTCAGCGCCACTATTGAGGTAAAGAAACAGAGGTGCCACACATTAGGCACTGCGACATCACCCATAGATTGACGGACATTGCGGCGCCACTCGTATGGCTCCAAGGCGCCGCTAAAAGTCAACTATGACGCAATTTTTTTTCCCATTTTTAAGCCCATAAAAACTTTACATCTGGCACAAACGTGGAAGAAAGTATAAAAAGAAGAATGGAGGCACTCTTTGTTTGTTACACACATTGAGAGACATAAAACACAACTTGGAGAATTAGAGAATAGAATCAAAGGAGAAAAATAAGAAATCAAGATTTGGAACAAAAAGAGAAACTTGGTGTAAGATTTATCCACTTCTTTAAATCTCAATTCAAAACCCGGTCATGTACTAAATACAAAGCTTTTATTTTTTTTTTCCATTATTATGAGTAGCTGAGTTTTTCATTAGGCAAATAATGTAATCGAATTGAGACCATGTATTTCTTTTATTCAAGATTCAAGTGCTTTTATAATATATAAGTATTGAGTTTATTAATGTAATAAATGTTTTGAATTACTTGATCGCTAATTCAATGATTTTGTGATTTTTTTACGAATCGAGATGTAAGTTTTAGATTTACATCACATATTAAAATCCGATAATTTAATATAACATATGTAGATACTTTTACTAATTATTGTGGTCGTTATATGAGTTCTTATTACTAATATTTCATTTAATTAAGATTGATTCGTGTAGAAATAGGTGATTGAATTAGTTAAATAGGTTTAATAAGAACTCGAGAGGGGTAAATTGAATACAATAGAAGAATTTGATCAAACACTACGTTAGGTTATGAATCTTGAAATAAAATTTAAAGGTGGTCAATAGATGAAATTGTTATACCCTAATATCTCATTCCATATTTGAATTCTAAATTGATCTTTGTTTGCATCCCGCTATTTTCAAATAGTTAGATAAAAAAAATTACTACAAATCACAATTCTTTGTTTGTTTTCGTCAAATTAGAGTTAGAAAAATTAAATTAAGTATTAAATTGTAGTCCTTATGGGAATGATCACCCGAATTCAAAAGTATATCGTACACTTGAGATATAAAAAACACAACTGTGATATTTCCATAACTTGGCAAGACCAAAATGGTTTCGAAATTTACTAAAAATGCCGAAATAATTTATTTTTCAGATTGGGAACGGGTCCTATTACTGCATACGAATGTGGATAAACTTGTGTGGCCACTGAGGTTGATAATGCTTTTCCTTACATGATTCCATATGGGATTAATGGTATTTTGTTATTGGGAAATTAGGTATGATCATTTCATTTTATTGAAAAATTCATTTGACTTAGCTCATGAGTATTCCTTTACTTTTGTCACATCAAATACATCAGTTTTTTGCACCATGGCTCCATTATTTTGCTTTTAAAAGTCGTTAAATGTCAATGATTCTCGTGTACAACATATTTTTCGATATATTAATATTAAAGTGGAGTCGAATTTGGACCCGTCTCGAATAAAACGTTTAAATAAAAGAAGATAGACATGACTTGAACATCCCATCGTAGATGTATTAGGACCAAATAAAGCTAACCGATTTCTTGCGGAATTCGAGGTACTTATAATTTGGAAATTTGCTTTGGTTTTCTTTCTTTCTTCTATGGACCACAAGAAAGTTTCATCATCTTTCCGAAAGTGAGGAAATAATATTAAAGTACATAGATATTGTTTGATTCTCATTATTTCTAAAGTACATTTTTTCTATTTTCTTTTCAATCACACATTTTTTAATAAAATAGTACTACACTAAATCCAAATTTTTTTTCTTATTTTTTAACCGCACATACTCCATCAATATATCATTTTAAAATGCAGTCTTAGCTAAAAAAAAAAAAAATGAGGCTCAAACAGGGGTAATGTATAATATAGAAAATTTCCGATCACTCATTCCAGTCAAGGATGTACTAAAGTTTTTCTCGTGATTATTGTTAATACAACTTATGAGCGTGCAAAAGAGTAGGGTTAGTGTCTTTCTTTGGAAGGACATGAATGGGGTCACAAAGGAAAAATAAAAAAATAGAATAGAATTTCTCCAAATTTATAGTGTTTGCAAAATTGAAAGGTCTCCCACATTGTAATCATAAAAAGCTTCAAGTTGATTGCACAAAAGTAACAAAAGGTTTCACCAATCACTAAATTAACTATTTCATGACCTTCATCATATTGCTTTTTGGGGAACTTTGCTTTTGCATTATTGTAGAAGCGCACCTAGAAAAAGGGCTTCATCGATGTCAATCTTTTCATCTTTGCTGAAGAAATCTCCCATTGTAATCTTTTCGTTCTAGGGAAATTTTGTTCATGGAAGGAGAAAAAACACCAAAGGTTCTAAAGCAACCAACTTATTGTCTAACAAAGATGATTGAGCTAAAATTCATTCATGATTTAATCATTCAGTACATGTTTGGTACATGATATGTTCCCTATTAAAAATACAGAATGAGATTCGCTCGTTCTTTTTTTTTATTGTCCAATACAGTAATTCATTTGACAAAATAAAACCATAATTAAGTGATACATCTAAGCCTGAACTTCACAACTCATTCTTTTGAGTTTTTTTCAAGAGTAGAATTCATAAGTGGAGGAATCAGCAACTATATTCCTCAGTCCACCAATAGTGGATGCCACCATAATGAACACTCCAATAAAAATACATGCCTGAAATTACATAATGAGTTTTAAATATTTTAGGATTGAAATAAAAATTAAATTATATATTATTTTTTCTTTAACCATCTCCAAAGGAGGAATTGAGATTTGTATAGTGCTCTTACTTACCCAGTTGACAATCCACGATAAGCTGAATCTCTTTGGTTTCATTAGTTTTAGCCATATTATGCTTGGTAGCTGCAGAGAAAGTTTAGTTTTCTTTTTTTTAATTAATAGTACAAGACTTTATAAGTTGGAAGCTGGAGATCAAAGCAAAGGGTACTTGGGACTTACAAAGTAAGAAGTTGGAGCAAAGCCAAATCCGCCGAAGAAACCGAGAAGATCACCAAAGAAAGGGAAGGTGACACCAATAAATAGGGTGAAAGCTGATAAAATCAGTATCGCTGTGAGTAGAAATGCTGAGAAAAATAGTCTTTTTCGTTGTAATTCATAGATAAAAAAGTTACGAAAGTTATTCCATTTCATTCAGTGCTTTTGTCTTGACTGACGAGATTCTTACCAACATAAGCAGAACGAACAATGAGTCTTAGCGTAGCTCCCGGGGGAAAGTTCAATCTTTTCACCATTGTTCTCTCAACCAAGTCAAATACTGGCATTGCATAAACCTGCAATATTTTTTCTCATTAACTTTGCAAGCTATATTACTTTTTCTCAACATAACTTATTTTAGACAGACTGCACTCCCCCCTGCAACATGAGATGCGTAGATATAGAGACCAATTGTCCTAGATCACCAACAAAAAGAAAAATCTCTAAACTTTCCGTGAAAATCCATTAAACGTGTAAAAATTTGTACCTGATAGCTTCCTATAACATGGATGACTACCATTAAGTTAGCAGCAGCAATGAGCCATGATGGTCTCTGAAGTGCAACAAGCACATTATCAGCTACTTCTTGGCCAAATGCCCAGTATCCAACCAAAGCAACTGGAAAATAGCAGATTCCATTGATGAAATATGCCCAAACAGCACCTTTCCACATTGGAACCTTAGAGGGCTTCTCAGGAGTGGATGGAATTGTGGCCTGAATTTCAAGCACCACAGCATGGCCAGCATAGGCAAATGTAATCTGCCCCAAAGCGTTAAAAACACGAAACATGTAATCAGCTCCACTCGTTTTCTTGTACCCATAGTTCACGTTTTCGACCCTGCCTCGACTCAAGCAGGCCACCCAAGCTATAGTTGAATAGCTGCAGTTTAATACATATTTCTGATTACGTCAAAAGTAGCATCCCATGTGAAATTCCTTTCTGTGTTTCAATTTATTTCACAGTTCTTAACATCGAGGGAAAAATATATGAAAAATCGAAATGATTGAAGTACCTTAGAGACATGACTGCAGCTGCTAGTGAAACACCAGAAACAGAATTGAAGTCAGGTAATTGAGAGAGGAAGAAATGGAGACCTCCAAAGATGCAAATCCAGTAAGATTGCCTAATTGGGTGGCAATTGGTGCAGGCTATTTCCATGAACTTCTTGAGACACTTTCCTCCAGTGACCATATATACAATGTCACAACCAACTTGGACAATAAGCTGCTGAGGGAGTACTATCCATGCCCCATATTTCGGGCCAAAGGCATGTCGGCCAAGGTCATAGTACCGATCAAAACGAACCCCAGGAACACATTCATGGAGCTGTATCATCTGCCACATGGTATTCAATGTGATAATCCAAGATATTGCCAATGCCAATGTCCCCGGACCCCTGCCAGAGAAACCATCAGGCATTGAAACTACACTCTAACGACGCAAGGATGTTACAGATAAAACCTAATCCCACAATGATAAATAGAATGGATTCATAAACATGCAAAGCAATCATAGTAGGTCAATTTAAAATCGAGGTAATACGTGAGTAGTATGATTATGCTCCACACGGTCCACATAGAGAGAGATAGTACCATCCTAAGTAAGCCATGGCATAAGGCAGGCTGAGGACACCAGCACCAACCATGGCCGTGACAGTGTGAAATGTCGAGTACCACCATTTGGCTTCACGAGACGGACCTTTTTCAGTCCATGTATCATCTGCTGGAACTTCCTGCACCACGCACAAATATCATAACACAAACTCATGAACTTTCGTACAAGAACTCAATCAAATTCTTAGCCTTCAGAAAGTAAAACAAAAATGATTAAAAAATACAAACTTTAGGCTCTGAAGGAGCTGGAGCTGATGACACCATTTTTGCCCCCAAAACAAATTCACACCAAGAATGCAGGGATTCAATGATTATCATCATGTATTTGTAGTGGTTGATCACTTATATTTTTGTGGAATAAAGGTGAAGAGGACCCTTCTATTGGCCACTAATACTTTTTTTAGCAAACTTTTGCTGCACCAACTAAAAAGCCATTTTTCTTTACAGAAATAAAATGACAATGTTGAGTATGACCCAAATTCCTATTGGGATTAGGATTGGATCAGTAAATTGATAAAATGAACAAGAGTCTTCTTGGTTTGGAAGTCCGATTGAAAAACGATCAAAATTAATCAAGGATTGAAAGTTTGATTGGTAAAAGAACTTTGGATAATTGAAAACTTGGTTTCGGAGTTTTCGACGGCAAACGAGTGTCCCAAGCGCTTGGTTCAAGGCGCCTAACAGAAGAAACTACTAAATTTGGATCAAGAAGCAGCGCCACGCGCTACAGTCGTTGCACTCGAGCGCTGTGACCGTCGCTCACCTACTGCTCGACTGGCTCTTGAGCACCAATATCATCCGGGCGGGAATCATTTTTCGATTCTGATTCGTTTCTTGTATTGTATTTCATCCAAAAACTTGTAATGAGTTTCTATATACACTCCACGTGATGTATCATCTTCATAACCTTGTGAGAGCATAGTAAAACATTGTATAGCATAGAGAAAACATCAAAGTGAGAGGATCTAGTTTATAGAGAGAGAGAGACTCGTATATTTGAGATAGTTTGAGAGTCTTGTGAGATTCTTTTATACTTCTTTGCTATTGATCATAGTGAATTCACCGTCTCTACCCGTGGCCGTGGGTTTCCCAAATTTGGATTTCCATATTAAATTTTATGTTCTTGTGTGATTCTTTTCATCGTGTCATATTTTCTTAACTTTAATATTCATAACAAGTGATATACGTTCTATCACTAAGTTATTGCAAATTGGCTTGTTTTATAACAGACACATAAAAGAAGGCAAATACAATGCATAGATGTTAAAAAAAGTGAAATATTTAGCAGATTCGTTTGTCTATATTGGATTTGGACATGATGTCAATCCACTAGGAAAATAGTAAAGGTATTTTCCAGGATTTACCTACCCTTTAAACCATATAAAATACATTCAATGTGGAGATTGTGTAATTTAAGTTAAATAAATTAATCAAGAATTCTCTTAACTTCATGATTACTTCAGCACTAGTGAATAATAAAGCTATTTTGTGGCTTTAACTATACAGCTCAATAGATATTATATTTTACTAATCCAAGTTGGAAAAAATTGGACTTAATTGAACCCATTGTTGAACTAATGTTGGAGATTGTGTGTGAATTATTCAGTTACCATGTTTTAAATTAAAGTGCCGACTATAAAATTTTTCATAAACCGATGGCTGATATGGTAATATGTTAAATTAAATTCTCGTCTTCTAAAAAGGTTAAATTGTTAAAAGAGTGAATTATTCACTAAATTTTTATCTTTGACACCAATTATCGATTTGTATCGATCATGATATGATTATTAGGTTTTTAGGTGAACTTTGTAAAGAAGCTATGGTTTGAAGGGAAAAAAAAAGTGAAAAATTTCCCACTTTAGTCCAATGATCACTATGCCCGTACAAAATTTATCAAGCTATAAAAAAGAAAGAAGTAGAAACAATTTGTCGCTTGTGGTGGGTTTCAATTGTCGGTATAAATCGGAAGACACGTCATGAGAAGCTAAGACCGCGTTTGATTACGAGTATGAAATTTGTATGGAAAAAAAAATTAAGCAATCGAATCGTCTAGAACTTATTTGTATGAAAATTATTAATTAAATATGTTTGATTGATTTAGTTTTCAATCTAAAAAATATTATACCTGTCTATTTTTTATATGTGGGTAGATGTGAGAGAAAAAGAGATTGAATTGTCTAGAAAATAAAAAACTTATTCCTGCCTAAAAAAAATATTTTCCTTGTTTGAAGAAAATATGATCATCTGACCAAAAATTGAAAAATATTTTTTACGGAAGAAAATGTAAATCAAACATCTCAAAAGTAAGAACTTTGTTGAAAAAGAGAACATTTTCCATGAAAATTTGATTGGTTTTATTTTCACCTAAAATAAAGAACATTTTTCCGAGAGAAATTAATTGAAACACATCGGACGGTAAGAGGAATTTGTTCGTAAAGAATTATTAAAAAGTTTAATGTTAAATTGACATTGTTTACATTAAATAGAAGCCTTAAAAAGTCTCTTAAGCCCTCAATAATCATATCGATACTTAAGTTCATATAAATAAAATTAATTTTGCAATTTCAGCAATTTAGAAGAAATGCAAGGGTATGAAAGTTTTGAAACACAGTTAGCTGGACAGCATAGTGATTGTCACGCAACAAGAGGCCACGTACGACAGCCTGACACTTTTAATTGCTCATATATTTATTTTATTTTTATTGCTTAAGTACTCTTTAAGTAGTATTAGTGCTTATGGTTGTATAGTCATTTTAGTTAAGATTTCTATAAATATGGTCTTGATTAAAAATAAAAAAAAAGTAACTAATTATAGAGTAATCGTTGCTTTTGGTTGATAATGAGTAGACTTTGCAAATTCTTGGCATTATGTCACATCTTACACTATATCACCAAGAATTGCAAATTCTTGGCATCGTGCCATCAAGAATTGCATTCTTGCTTTACACCACCGAGAAGATGTAGTAAAAAAGCTTAGGTGGAAAAGGATTTGAGACGAGATCAAATCGTAGAATTATTGTCACTTATGTATGTCGTGATGGCTCAACCAATGATCTTCTCTTCGAATGAGGAGATGATTGTAGATAACTTGTTCACCTCTCTCAATCTATATCATTGAAATCTATGAGGATTATGAATTAAGATATGTATTTGATGTTGAGATAAAAAAGTTATTGGAGTGGATATTCGTCGTTTAAGAAATCCTTAATGTCAAGGGCGAGATAAAGAAATAGGGTAAAGCCATTTGTACCCAGGCGTTTACATGTTCGGGAAACCCCAACACCTCCCCCCTCCCCCCCTAAATGAGGGGGGCCCGAGGTGAATAAAATAATGGGTAAGCCCCCTCCATTGTGAGTGGGGGGCGTGGGGTCGAGTACACGAACGTGTAAACGCCATGTATATTCTAGAAATGCTGAACACGTTGATCGAGCAGAGTTGGGCCAACCCAATATAGAGTGGGCTTTGAATAACATTGGTCTTCAATCCGGGCCTGGCCCATAAATTTTTTACACGTGACTGGGGCCATCTAAAACATGGACCGTTTTGATTAGATCCAACCCACCTTAAACATTTGTACTAGTGTGCAAGTATGCAACTAACAAATTATAGCTAATTGTGATTAAAATAGTGGTTGACTAAATGCATGTTTGACTTTCATTACTTTATTTTATGATTTACTACATGGTCATATTCAATTACAAATTCACACAATAAAATATTCTACACTTATATAAAAAAAAAAAATTCATACTTTTTAAATATACATTCTCTTAAAAATCACTATTTAAACTTTTTTTTTTTACAATATAAATGATTGTCAAACAGGCCCTAAGAAAGAAAATATATTAGATTGGGCTCGATTAAAAAAAGGCCTTGGGTCTACGGCCCAAAGTCAACGTGTATCTTAACGCGCTCGCCATAGAAACCTTAGTCGAGAAGGAAAATAAAGAAACATTACTCGTTCGTAAACGCTATGTAGAAAACTGCCAATAATCATTTTTTATATGGAGACGGAGAGGCGTATATAGATTGTATAATTGTAATTGTGAATCAATTTCCAGGTAGTTTCATATAAGAATTCCAATATTCTTCCCTTTTTGGGACAAAACCCAGATTGGAGTTGATATAAATGATCTCTTCAGTACAACTGTAGCAGAAGAAAAGAGAAGGCTTTGGGTTTGACGTGGGTGGGTCTTTGGTCCATTCAAAGTGACATTCTTTTCTTCTTCAATTATCGAAGTGAAAATATTGGAATTCAAGAAAGAGAGACAGAATCGTCGAAATCTTGAAATCTCTTATATAAATTCTTGGTTTCCGTGAAGATGATGTTAAGTTATCCAGGGCTTTCAAAGCTCAAAACCAAGCAGGTATGTGTAGTTTCGTTACACCTTTATATGTATTTTTCCCGTTGCTTTCTGTTTAAGAAAAAACTTGAATTCTTGGAGGGAGAAATTTTGGGTTGTATTCAGGTTTTCATGTTTAAAGTTAGATGTTTCTAGTGTAAGTACATAAGGGTTCACCGCGTCTTTATTTTATGTATGTTTATTGATTCGAATTAGGATTTAGAATTGCAATTTGTGAATATTCAGTTTAAATTTGAATGAAATCATTTTGTAACTCAACCAATTTGAGCAATTCCCGCATTGAAATAATTGCAATGACATTTTTGTTTATGTCGTGCTGTCTGGCACTTCAAAGTTCCTAACTTTTGGTTTTTATGGTAAAATGTTGCTCTAAATTATACTGGTAAAAGGACTGCATTTACAATCTTTGTTACTTAAAATGATTAATAATACCCTAATGCAATCGATAGGTTGTGTATCAAAATGCACTTTTGGCGCGTGATTCTGGCACTCTTGAGCAGCTCAAGGAGTTGAGTTCCAAGCGTAAAGCAGTCGAGGAGTCCATTAATGAGAACAGCTTTGTTACAGAGGCTATTGCACGGGAAATGTCCGGGGGACTGACATCCCGTTGTGAACAGGTAATAATGCATTGGAAGTGGATACTTCTAGAAAGGCCTAGTGAAAAATTATGGTTTTCGTATATATGTTGTGTCATTCGATTCAAGTAAACAACCCGCATTGTTAGTATTGTCATTGTAATTTTGAGTCTAATTGATGGTGGTCCACAATTTGAAATAATTGGACTCTGTCCCATGTCCGAAATACAATGGCTGAATATGTTAGATTTCATTCTGTGTTTTTCTCTTTGTAACTCTCCCAGGGCATCCAGAAATTGGAAAATTATCTACCTTTATTGGAAAACCTTGTTCACCATGTCGATCTTCTCAGCAACAATAGCCGTATGACTTGCTGGATTTCTGACCTGAAAATAAGTTGGAGCAGCTCTCTTACTTCATCGTCTATTTTTCACCTTAATGGTCCAAAGTTCTATCAGATTAAAGACTTACGCTTTGAACTCGGAATGACCCTTTTCCTTTATGGTGCAATGCTTCGAGAACGGGCTCTACAACTTCTATCAACGGGTAAGCGTAAATCTTAAGAAGTTCTTTTTTCTTCACGTAATTGGTAGTATCTCTACTGATTCTTGTTCATCATTATAGATTTGGTGCGATCTGCCACCATCCTCAGAAAAGCTTCCGGCGTGTATCATTATTTAGCTCATGAGGTTCTTCCCCCTTTACAGACTGCATTGCCCCAAGAAAGGCCCCCAGAAGGTACATCTGGCGTCTCTTCTGTAATGAGCCTTATTTGCTTGGCAGATGCCCAGGTTTGTGTATATCACGTCCAAATTTTTTCAATAAAAGATCCATTACATAAGCAAAGCTTTAAACCAAATTTACTGTGTCACCTGTTTCAATCATAACAGCTCTTCACTTGTTCACTGTTACTTATGCTTACTACGTGGTAATTTTAATGTTGATGAGTTAAATTTCCTTATTCTTGATGATTGAATGGCTTTTTGCAAACATTTTTAGGCTGTTACTGTAAAGAAGGCTGAAGAAAATGGTAATACTGGAGGGCTTTTGGCAAAATTGCACTACGGTGTTAAAGAGTTTCTGGTTGAAGCCATTA